AACTGTAAATGTCTTGTAGAAGCTGTCAGGAAGAAAAGTGGAGCACTTGGCATATGAGCACAGGGCAGCTGAAGTGCTTGGCAGCTGGAAAGACCGGAGGACAAGCACTTGCGCTGAATGCCTCTGCTAATCTCCCAGTACTGAGAGAAAAATATTCCTTATTAAAATTTATTTTCTCAGTTAGAACTTTGGGCAGGATGGGTTATTCAGCTACTATTTTTAGACTAGCTGCTTACTAAAATTCATTTTACACAGCTGGCTAGAGAACTTTGTCCCCAGAGCCTGCACACACAGTCCCTGGACACCCAGCTGATGAGGATTTTGGTTTTATCTTTAAATTAGGTGATAAACCTTGTTCGGGACAGCCCTCCCCTCAGCACTTTGGCCTCCATTACTGTCTTGCGGCCCATCTTCTACGTGCTGCAGCAGGCTAACCACTGGATGTTTATGGGTTACTCCCTGGTGCCATTTTGCCTTTTCACCTGGGACAAATGGATGAAGGTATTTAGTAGCCACAGACAAGCCCTGCAGTCAACCCTTTTCCTTCCATCTTCTCTCCCAGGTTCTTGGCCTGGCCCAAAGCTGCTTGCTGATCCTCAACCCTGCCTTTCTCCTTACAGGTGTACAGGTCTATTTATTTCTTTGGCCACGTGTTGTTCTTCACCCTACTATTGGTGTTGCCTTACATTCGCAGAGTACTTGTGCCACGAAAAGAAAAGCTAAAAAGAACAGAGTAACAGCCAAAAGGTAAGGCTGTGCTAGGCAGAGAGAATCCCACGCTTGGACTAGAAGGTGAAGTGGAGCAGCAGTGTGACAGCCCAAGATGAAAGGCAAACATGAACTCAACTGAAACAAATATAGCACTTCTCTCTTTTCCAGATTGTACCACCTGTGCATTTGTAGGAGTTGATTTAACACTCCGGAAGCAAAGCATCACCTGCCAAGTTTGCTGTGTTGAAGTATGACTTTTTATCAATGCGAGGAGGGGGAAAGGGAAAGCACAGGGTCAGAGACCCGACAGGAGGGGATCAGAGTAAGCCTCCTTGAGCCCCTCCACCTTCTGTCTGTTGCCTTATTGGTGCCGCCCTGCGGCCAGCACTCGCGTCTCTCCGCTGATACCAGATGATTGTACCACGCTCACGGCAGGCGCTGCGCTGGATTGGAGCCACAATCTGACTTTTCTACGTTTGTCATCTTAAGATAAAAATTGCTCCTGGTCTTTTTCACGCAGGCTTCAGCTCCTTTCCTCTCGGGTGCCTTGGTGTGGGAGTGTGAACTGAGCAAGGCAATTCCACAGGACTGAGCGGGTGAGCAGGGCACAGCTGAGAGTCTAAGCTCCATGACAAATTGGGGCCAAGTCCCTGCTGTTCAGGGATTGAGCCTGCCCACGGATGAAATGTGGGAAAGTAAAATTCACAAGCACTTCTTATCAAAAGTTATCTTTAATAGGAGGAAAAAAGAATCAGTGGGGCAAGTCCATTTAAAGTCTGATTGCTCCAGACGCTACAAGGATGGAGTTGAAGCCTTTTCCTTTCCAAGAGCCCAGAGTTGCACCAGGTCCACACCCAACTAAAAGAACCTTCCCAGAATGTTGGGATATAATGTATTTAAGTCCACTGTATACAAGACAACAGTAGCAGCAGAAGCTCATACTACTCCCCAGACCTCCTCAAAGGCAGTAGTAATTTTGGCACACGTCAGAGCAGCAGAGAGGGGGTAGTTGCTGATAGAGACCATCTTCTCTGTATAGTCAACATTGACCTGGGGGAAGAGAGGAAAAAACCAAAACAATCAAGCTGCAAGTTTTCAGTGAGCCCTATCTACCTCCATTAGCTGGAGAGGCTCAGTATTTCTCCAGCAGGACAACTGCCAGCCCTCACTAATGCCCTCTCTTGGGAGAGAAAAAAGGCCCAAGTGTTGCAGTACTGGGCCTTTTTTTGACAAGCCTACCAGGGTGGGGGACTGGGCAGGGGGACGCAAGCTAAGAAAAGGCAGATAAAACCTCCACACTCAGAACAAGACTTGATAAAGATTTTTACAACTCCAAGTAAGGGATGAACACACTTACTGAACCATGGGCAAAAGCTCCCACCACAATGGCAACTGGTTCCTCTGCAGGGACCAATTCACGCAAATCTGACACCTTTGGCACCGAAAAGGAGGTGCCAATCTTCATACAGCCCACGGGGAGGTGGTCACTGACTGGGTTTTTAATGACCTGCAGAAAGCAGAGAGTCAGTAACGGCATAGAAGTAACAGACCCTGCACATAGCTAGGTCCATTGTTTGCTAAAAGAACAAACCAAACCAAAATGAACCCCTAAGAAATTCCTCCTAGGGGGCTTCATTCTGTAGGATATAGATGTAGTATGCTGTGAACAGTTAAAAAGTGTTTACCTTCAACAGCTTCTGAGGCCCATCAGCGGCTCGAACGCTGAGCTTATGCAGCAACTGAACTGACAAGAGAAGAAAATGACTTAAGCTGTCTGTTCTTTTGCTGGAAGAATCCCCTCCTCTGCTTGGTGATCAGAGCTGAGGTACACACAAAGTTTAGAGCTCATAGCATTGCCTGAAGCAGCCCTAATACTGATCAGCAAGCTGTTCTGCTACAGACACTCCCCACTGTGCTCAGAAGCACAGGGCTGGAGTGCGCATCCTGGGACATCACAGAACACACTTCAATTTCTCTGCTCTTTCCTCACTTTCACAGTTTTAAGGTTGGTGAAACCTTCAGGCTTTTCCCAAAGTTCTTCCACTCCCAACCACCACCTTCCTACATTATTCTGTGGCTGGTATAAATCTCAAATAACTTACCCATAAGACCACAGAATCGATCAAAAGTTCTTGGGATTCTGGTTTGGGGATTGACTTCAATTAGCACATTCTTCTGGGTATGGATGTAAACCTGCAGGAGACCAGCCCGGTTCAGGGGGCTGTCCATGAGCATAAGTAGACTCTGAAATAGGAAAGCGAAAGAGAGGATTCGTGGGGATAAACCGATGGTTAGGCCCCACGAGTGCAGAAGGGGCTGATACAGAGGCTGAAAGCTCACGTGACTATGAGAATTCTGCTGTAATGCCAAGACTGTAGGCTCATACCCAAACAGCAACTAAACTTACAAGCCACAGGCATTGCGTGTGAGGCCAAACGCGGTCCTGGGCTCCAGGGGCACAGACGGAGCCCGGACCCGAGGGGCCGTGTCCCCAAGCTGACTGCCGACGGCCCAGGCAGGATCCAGTAGGTACCTGGTGGGTGATGTCGGGCCGCACCTCCGCGGGGTCTCGGCCGTTCCGCAGCAGCAGCGCCTTGTGCTTGTCACAATTGAGGAGCTCGAACGTCTTCCCCACCTACGGCCAAAGCACGGACAGGTGGGCAAGGAGGG